TCCAAACATTTTCACGAGGGCCTAATTTGGTATTGCAACATTTCCGACAAGGACAGAACATCTTACCACTTTCCTGCGTGAGTGGTGTAGAATCTGCTTGATGCATAAACGTCTCCAACCCTTCGAGAAATTCTTTCGTCACCCTCCCGTTATTATCTCTGTGTGAATACATCCACTTCCGCAACTCGAAAATACTTCCGGAACGGACATTTTTTTTTTGTTTGATCAAGATTTTTTTTTGGTGTGTTTCAAATGAATCACATATGGTGGTATTTATAGAAATTTTCGAATCTGAGCATTTACTAGGAAATTGCTAGGAAAAGTAGGTACAAAACACGTTTTTGATTAATATTCGATATTTTTTATCCATTTCCTCTTAATTTCGTAGTAACAAATCTTTTCCTCCTAATTTTGTAGTAAACATTTATTAGGACTTTACGAGGAAATGTTTTACTATGCTTTTACGAGGAAAATAATATTTTCCTCGTAAATTTACTTCGAGTTTACGAGGAAATTCTTTTCTCGTAAGTTTACGAAAATTTTACGAGGAAAAGAGTCTCCTCGTAAACTCGAAGTAAACTCGTAGTATTTTTACGAGGAAATGTTTTCCTAGTAAATTTTCCTAATAATGTCTTAGTTTTCTTGTAGTGTAAATGTTTGTTATTAACTAACCTATCATTTCGTTTGTGCTAAGTGGGTTGGGTTAATGACTTTTTTGTATTAAAGATGTAAAAGATGGAGCTCCAAACATCACTATCATTTTGTAGATCTTTGAACTTTAAAAACATTACCGACAAATTTTTTAAAATTTCATATATCCATAATTAAATTTATAAATCTTAACAAAAATTAATTGGTGTCAAAAAGATAAATTTATTCGTTCTAGATTCAGTTACTATATTTTCGTGAACCCATTTAATCTGGTCGTAACTTAAGCCAAAAGAAATAATTACTTTCCGTAATAAAAACTCAAATCCGTCCAAAAACGACGTCGTATTCCAGTGAGCTAAGTAGTTAGATCTCAACATATCAGTCAGACCTTCAGATTCAGACAGTCGCACTAAAAAAAAAACCAAAAAAATGGCGTTCCGCGTTTTCCTCCTCCTCTCTCTCACCTCTCTCCTCATCTTCTCCGCCGTTTCTCCTTCCTTCGCCTCCACCTCCGACGTCGACGACGAAGAAGATCTCAGCTTCCTCGAAGACCCCAAAGAAGAATCCGACCCCACCAAGCCACTCTCCTCCCCCGACGAGTTCCACGAAGGAGAAGACGAAGAAGAAGATCCCGAGATGTACGACGACAACGACGAAGACGACCAAGAAGGAGAAGATCTCTCCGATCTAGGCAACCCCGACTCAGATCCGTTCCCGTCCCCAGACGTTGACGAGAAAGACGTGGTGGTGATCAAAGAGCGTAACTTTACGGACGTGATTGAGAATAATCAGTATGTGATGGTTGAGTTTTACGCTCCGTGGTGTGGGCATTGCCAGTCTCTTGCTCCTGAGTACGCGGCGGCGGCCACTGAGCTTAAGGGAGACGGTGTCGTTTTGGCGAAGGTTGATGCTACGGAGGAGAATGAGTTGGCTCATCAGTTTAGTGTTCAGGGGTTTCCGACGATTTTGTTTTTCGTTGATGGAGAGCATAAGCCTTACTCTGGTGGCAGGACCAAGTAAGTTCAAATCTCGGGTTTTTCAAACTAAAAGTTTATATCTTTAGTGTGAGTTGTATTTAAAGTTCAGATTATTTAGTGTGATTTGGATTGGAAGTTCAAATCTTCAGTGTGAGTTTACTGAAAGTGCAAATATTAATTGTGAGTTTTCGCTGAAAGTAAATCTTTAGTGTGTTTATTACTGTGGCGTTTATTGGATTTGATTAAAGTCAAATCTCGATTTGGTAACTAATGTCCAAATCTTTAGTGTGAGCTGTATTGGACTGAAAGTTTATATCATTATTGTGATTTTGATTGAAAGTTTAAATCTTTAGTGTGAAATTGTATTGAAAGTTATATTAAGTGTGAGTTTTACTGAAAGTTCAAATCTTTAGTGTGTTTTGTATTACTGTGGCGTTTCTTGGACCTGATTAAAGTCAAATCTCGATTTTTCAACTAAAGTTCAAATCTTTAGTGTGAATTGTATTGGAAGTTCAAATCTTTAGTGTGATTTCTACTGAAAGTTCAAATCTTTGTTGTGATTTGTATTGAATGTTTAAATCTTTAGTGTGATTTGTATTAAAAGTTTAAATCTTTAGTGTGAGTTGTATTGAAAGTTCGGTTCTTATTTGTGATTTGTATTGAAAGTTCGGATCTTATTTGTGATTTGTATTTGGAAGTTCAAATTATTTAGCGTGAGTTGTATTGAAAGTTCGAATCTTTAATGTTTTATTTGTATTGATGTGGCGTTTGTTGGATCTGATTAAAGCTTTGTTGATTTTGTGATGTAGAGAAACGATAGTAACATGGGTGAAGAAGAAGATAGGTCCTGGTGTGTATAACTTGACGACGTTAGATGATGCTGAGAAAGTGTTGACTTCTGGGAACAAAGTCGTCTTGGGTTATTTGAACTCTTTGGTGGGTGCTGAGCATGATCAACTTGCTGCTGCTTCCAAAGCTGATGACGATGTGAACTTTTATCAAACAGTGAACCCTGATGTTGCCAAGATGTTCCACATCGATCCAGAGTCTAAGCGTCCTGCTGTTGTCTTAGTTAAGAAAGAAGCTGAGAAGATTAGCCATTTTGGTTAGTTCTTTATATCTTTGTTATAAACTTTGATTTTAGTGGTATTGTTTATTTGGCTTTGCTTATTGTGTGTTTTGGGTTATTATGAATCTGCAGATGGGGAGTTTGTTAAGTCTGATATAGCTAGTTTTGTGTCTGCCAACAAGCTTCCTTTGGTCTCTGTTTTCACCAGAGAGAGTGCACCGGAAATTTTTGACAGTGCAATCAAGAAGCAGGTGTGTCAAATGTTCTTTTAGTGAGGCTTCAGTTCTAAAAGATGGCTTACCAAACCTGAAAGTTAATATTTCTCTTTGCAGATGTTGTTGTTTGTATCCCAAAATGACTCTGAGAAGGTTCTTTCAGAGTTTGAAGAAGCAGCAAAATCATTTAAAGGAAAGGTACTAACATAGATTTGATATGTTTGTCTTGCATCAACACAAGTACATGAAACTGGGCTATATATCTTGGTAAGGTTACTTCTAAGAAGGCTTTGTTTGTTTGTTTGTTGAAACAGCTTATCTTTGTATCTGTGGATTTGGATAATGAGGATTATGGGAAGCCAGTTGCTGAATACTTTGGTGTGTCTGGCAATGGTCCTAAAGTAAGTCTTTTTGTTTTTTTTTTCTATCTATGTTCATCTTAAGTCTTAGCTCTTTTTTTGGTTAAATACATGTTGAATGTTGGTATTGTGTCTAGCTTATTGCCTACACAGGAAATGAAGATCCTAAGAAACACTTCTACGATGGTGAAATCAAGTCTGATAAAATTAAGGTAAGTTCTTTTACTCGTAAAAAGTCTGGCTAGATATTTGTTTAATATGTAATCTCTTGCAGGCATTTGGGGAAGAGTTCTTGAGCGACAAACTAAAGCCTTTCTATAAGTCAGACCCTGTTCCTGAGAAGGTAAAAGCTAAAAAAGCCTTTTCTTCATTGTATTATGCATTCTCATCTTTGTTTGACTCATGCCCTCTATATTCATGTAACGCTGGGCTTACTTTTGGTGCCTATAGAATGATGGAGATGTGAAAATCGTGGTGGGTGATAACTTTGATGACATTGTCCTCGACGAGTCTAAGGATGTTCTTCTCGAGGTAATATTGTGTACCATATATAGTCCGTTTGATAAAGCCGATATGAAATTCATGTTTTTTTTCTTTCTCATATTCTTAGGTCTATGCGCCATGGTGTGGCCATTGCCAAGCACTTGAGCCAATGTATAACAAGCTTGCTAAACATTTACGAGAAGTTGACTCTCTTGTCATAGCCAAGATGGATGGAACAACCAATGAACATCCCAAGGCAAAGGTAAAATACTTTAATGAATATGTATTAAAGGCCTTCTCTGTTCAATTTCAGTCTCTTCTATGTGCAAAGCCTCAAGAATTGATTTTATTTGCAGGCCGAAGGGTTCCCTACAATTCTCTTCTTCCCTGCAGGAAACAAAACCGCAGAACCGGTATGTTCTGCTCTTTGCTGCATGCATGTTAGGTTTTGTCTTGGTAAACTCCCTCTAAAACATAATCGTCTTCTTTTGTTGTGTGTGGAGCAGATAACAGTAGATACAGACCGGACAGTGGTTGCATTCTACAAGTTTTTGAGGAAACACGCAACGATCCCGTTCAAACTGGAGAAACCTGCTGCTGCATCTACCAAAACTGTTGAGTCGTCCACACCAAAAGTAGAAACTACTGAGACCAAAGGAAGTCCCGATATCACCACCACCACAAAGAGTACCGAAAGTGACTTGAAGGACGAGCTTTGATCTGAACCTGAGAAAAAGGATAGGAGTTATAGAAATACGTCTCCTTATAAAAGTTATATTGTCTGATCAGAGCATTGTTTCATCACGAGCTTGGACTAGAGAATGTTGGAGACTTTATTAGTTATTTTTAGTATTGAGAAAAGACAATTTTAAAAGCTCTCTTTTGATATAATAAATTCAGAGGCCAACTTGAAGAATTGTAAACGCAATGTAATAAGTGAGATAATATATACTCCCTCTGTTCCTAAAAGATAGATTTTCTAGTGTTTTCACACATATTAAGAAAACACATTAAATCATTATCGTTTTCAGTAATTTTCAATTTTCAACAACTTTTACCCAATAGTAATTTAATAAAACTAATTAATATTTTTGAAACTTGTAATTTTCTCATAGAAAACATAGAATATACATCTTTTTGAAACAAAATAGTTTTCCAGAACATGGATCTTTTAAGAACGGAGGGAGTATAACTTAATAAAAACCTTTCAGTGTTATCTTCCAACTGTTCGTTGCAGAGCCGAATTTCAAGTGGATCAAGAGTCAAGACACTCGATAGATTAGGGGGGCTGTCCATGTTTCAGTTCTTACTGCTTAGATACTGGTAAACTGAGCATAAACATTATGTTTTTTTTTAATTATCTTATTAACATTTATTAGAAAATCAATTACTAGGGAGTAATGTTTTCCAAACGCTCTTTGCTTTTCATAGAGGTTTTGTGAGTACATTTAGTCATTTACATTCAGAATATATAAAAATAAAAAAATAGAAAAAAATTGGAAAAGTACACTTACATGCGATTTCAATTTAAATTACACCACTGATAATATTTTTGCAAAATACACTGTAGTATACATGAATTAACTTAATTATTCCATCTGAACATTAAATATCAGTATCAATTTTTATCATCAGAATTTATTTAATATTAAAAAAAACAGTTTCAACAAGAATATGAAGTTGTTTAAAAAAAAAAGAAATCTTCACAAATCTTAATTTTTTTTTAAAAATATGAGAAAAAAACAACAAGCTTGCTTGTCTCCTTCCTGTGATTTTCTATTATCCATTTTGAAAAACATATTTAAATCTAAATCTTGAAACCTATTTCCACAACTCCAAACCCTAAATAATAAACCTTATTTCCATACCCCTTAAACATTTTAAAATGTAATTACTAAAATTAAACTATAAATCATAAACAAAAAATCACTGGACGAGCTCGTGAATGCGACCGGTTGCGGTCCAGTAGTATACGAACAAGATGCAAAAAGTCAGTTGTCTGTTGAAAGATTCACAAAAACATAGAGAAACTAAAGCAAATGAGCCACGAGTTTTGTTTTTATCTAATGGAAGGTGTGCTTTATCGTTCACTTCTCTTCCAATCTAGCAAGGAGGGACTCGGCGAAACTCTGTTGCCTGTGAAATCCAAAGAAAGACAAATAAGCATCAATACAAAACAAGTACGAATGAATGTAAAAGGGCTCAATTGTTCTGTGTAAGAAAAGTGTCGTAAAGACACCACAAATAAATCAGGTACGGTATGGAGTCTAAACTAATCAGCTAATAGACAACCATGGTACTGCAAATTCTTCCAATATGATAATCAAAGTAGTAGATTTTCTAGAAAGAAAAAACACGTTGAACATACTTGCGTTCACTATGCTTGGAGCTTGGTCTCGAATACTTCAAGTATCCATCCCAAGGGACCTTTTTCAGGCCTGCCCGAAGAGATATCATGTCTCTGACCCTGTGACAAGTAGATAAAAGGTGGATATCACAAATTTTAGGTAAAAAAGGTAATGCTAAGTTTCTGTATTTCTAGTACGAACTTCTTAGAATATGCCGTCTCTGGTAAAGGCACAGAGAGAAGAATGTCTTACCTCTCTGCAAACTCAATTGCTGTTTCACCAGGCCTTATAGTTTGAGGTTCCAAGTACCACACTTCACACACAACTGCCCATGAAGTCATGAGTTGGAGCAAGTGCATAGTGAATGATTGTCTGCAACAGACAATGCAACGACCTTTTGTTAACAAATCGCAGAGATGACCCTAAAATATTCTGCTGTCTATGCACCAGACCAAAACTTGTTTCAATCGCAACTATGCAATATAAAAATGTGAAAACAATACTCATATAATTTGCTAGAGATGCTTCTGTTTCCTTTCCAAAAATACACTAGATATCCAAAGTTATCCTTACTTACTTTCTGCTGTTCCAGAAGGCGTCAACAAAAATCTTGTTGTATTTGATTGCGATTGGACAAACAGTGCAGCCCAATTCAAAAGAACCCTGAAACATTGCCATGAAGAGAATCAGAAACTACAATATATAGTAGGAAGCCAATAACGTACAAAACTAGGTCCAATATACCTTCTTAAACATCACCGTATAATTATTATTTACACATGTCCCTTCGGGAAATATGAGAAGAGGATTATTGTCAGCTCCTTGGACATGGTCCCTTAACCTGAAGTATGTGATTCATTTCCCCGTGATCAATATAAGTCGACTACATAATGACAATATAAAGGAGATAAGAATCGTCCATACTTTCTTGCTACAATTTCACGATCCTTTGCCTCGGAACGATTGAACCAGATACATCCTACACTCTCTAATATTGTGCTCTGCAGAAGCCCTTCATATTCAAAAGCACAAAAAGTCAATACTGACTTTAACAATAAAGCACGAAAGGCAAACCAATCACTCGTCTCAAGCCTAGTAACAACAGAGCCACAATAAAGATCATAAGCACACTTGTGGGCGTTCTAAAAACCCCTGAGACTTACCAACCCAACCAGGATGCTTCTGCATTATAACAGCAAATGCAGTCATCTGCTGCAGGACGATGAAATCAATCATTGACGTATGGTTGGCAACATAGACCTGTTTAACCCCCAATCATATATTAAGCATATGTAAACAAGTATCAAGGAGATATAAAGTTGAAGACCAAAATAATTTCAAAAGGAAGCATGACCTGCTTAGGACGAATGCTAGGACGTGGCCCGTGATATTTGACAACTCCTGTCCATGAACCGACAAAAAAGCTGCAAATCATTTCCACCAAGACCCTCTGGTAAAATATAGTAACAAATTCAGCATCAAGAGCTCCACAAGGAAGGAATATATGACTAAATCATAATATATACAAGAAGTTTCCCCTGTCTTAAAACAACATCTTCCCCAATTCTAGATGGAATAATAACGGAAAGGCAAAATAAAAACGAGAAACATAGAATCCAAACTCCACCTCAATATTTTTCCTCAACCTGTCTTGACCTTTGAGCAGGGAATGTACGGGGATGAATGTTGAAAGGAAAATAAACCACCCAAAAGCTAAAGTTAAGCACCTGCAGGTATTGAAAACAATGAACTGCTCAGTCCAGACACAATGCTGAAAAAAATCTAAAATTTTGAGCTATAACAACACACCATACAGAAGGGAAACACACAGATACTAGAGAACTGAACTGCACAACTGTATAGGAGACGAGCCATTATAAAATTTGCAATACAAACCTCAAAGGAAAGAGAATGCAGTATCTAACAACAACACCAAAGCACCATAGTGGAAACAAGTAAATGTTCCAGTTCCATGGCTCTGGTGGATTCGACTTGAAACACCTTGTGAATGAGTCCTTCACCAAATTAAAAAAAAAAAACATCACATATTATATATCATAAGATCTCAATCGTTTCGCTCATCAATGTTAACAGATGCTTACATCAACGATGGCACCAGCAGCTTCAGTGAGAGTTGGTGAGATATCGATCAAATCAAGCCTGCAAAATCAAAGACAAAAGGCATTGCTACCGATTCAAATCAGGCGATCCAATCACATTTATCAAATTCGAAGAGATTCTGAGATTCTGAGAGGATGAATTACAGGCGGAGCTTGCCGCGAGGTTCATTGATGGAGGAGCCGGGAGGAAGGTAATCTTCGATGTTAAGCTCCGATCTGGACGTCACGAGCATCCCTGACGTGCTGGTCATTGTTCCCGAAACTTTTCCGATCGCCGGGTGAATTCGTTGTTGTGGTGAAGCTAGGGAAGCGAGGGAAGAGAGAAACTCAATACTACATAGGTGATGCAACAGATCAGGCCCATTAGTATAAAAGGCCCAACTCAATTAGAATTGAGAATTTTTAAAGCACAATTCACGAGAAACCTAGTTACCTAGACATAAAATCCACTGGTTAATAATCCGTGTCTTGAGCGGAATGAGATTATTATTTTTATTATTTTTAAGATAAAAATGATATTATGTTTGTTTAGCATGAATATTTGTTCAGTTTTACGTTTTTTTCTAATGTTCTAAAATATAACTATCATTTTAAATCTATATTTATTTTTGATTTGTTTGGTTTAAATGTTTGATATTTTTAATTTTTTTGATGATAACCAAAAACTATTGCTATTTGTTTGGTTTCGTTTTATATAAATTTTAGACATTTTTGATGTCGAACTAATAGTTGCCTATTATCATTTCTAAACACATGTAAAATCAAATAAAATCTAAATAATATTTGAAGAAAAAATAATATAAAATTATTAACACAAAACATTTCACTACAATTTGTGCGATAGTGAAAGAAAACATTAAAAAAATTAAACTTCAATAAGAATTAAAATTCTCACTTGTAGTGAATATTTAGTTATATACCTGCTCATATCAATGTATACATGTATGTATATGTAAAAGTATATAAATGTGATGATAAATATATGAATATACCGTTAATTAATATTTAAAACATTTTTGTTCAAACTAACACATGATAGTAAATTCTTAAATAAAATTAAGTAAAATTAAACAAATCTAGAAATTAATAAAAAAATTTCAGATGAAGAAAATCAAATTGTATCCGTAAACAATAAAATAATATATATTACAAAGTGACATCTTCACTTGGTACCTGAATTCTGTTTTTAATTGATTTTGTAATTTTATTTTTTTAAAAGCTTTTTTGATTTCTGATTTTCTTCTACCAATTTGATTTTGTTTATAATTATTGGTCTGATATCAAAACTTTATAAAAATGTTAATATTTGACGAAACTAAAGATCCGACTTTACGTGTGGTGTTTTTCTCCTCTGTTTCTTTAATTCATAATCAATCATCGTATTTGTTGTTATTGTGTACCAAGCCTCAACCATGACCAATTTCGGGAAGGTACGAAACTTTCAACTTCTACAAACATTTTCATCGCAACATTCTAGTTGATGCGAATCTTAATGATTTTGTATTTTTTTACAATAAATATATTATTCATTAGTTTCACGTAGAAAGTTCTAATTTATTACTACAAAGGATAAAAATATAGGAAAAATGAATTAATTAAAATATGATATAAACACATTAAATAATGAATTTAAAAAATTAATGTAGGAACGCATTAATTACCAAATGATTGTGAGACTGACATTGTCAATTACGGTGTGAACATATTTATTATAATGATTTTTTTTTAATATATAAGGGATTTCTATAACATAATTTTTTCAATTTTACAGAAAAATATAACTAGAGATGATATCATTCATTTCAGTCTATTTAAGTTATGCAATCTTTACCACTAACAATTACATTTCTGCTTTCGTGGAGTTGTGAATAAATAGTTGAAAGTCAACCATTAAAAGAAACAGATTTACGTACCCGTCAACATAATACTTGCTTTACGTTTCTGCATGGACTCTAATTACACATTCCTTCGTTTTCACGTAGCAAATTTATTGCTCCATTAGCAGACAATCCAATATTAATCACATTGGCAATATCTCAAGTGCCAAAAAAAAAAAAATCATCTCAAGTGTCACTCAGATGAACTTTTAAGTAGAAAATGAACAACATCACACTATATATATATATTACCTACTTCCTCTCCTTCTTTAAGAGAGAGGTTTGATTAATAATCTTCGAGATGTTGAATGTCAGTTTCATAATAATACTAATTATGTTAGCGGTAGGAATCGTATCAACTGATGAAAATGTTTCACAAGCTCCGTCTCCGGTTGAGTATTTTTACACTTCTCCGTCTACGTCCCCTTCGCCAGAAGTCAGTGATGTCAATCACGACGACGTAAGTGGAATGGAAGAAAAATCCTCTGGAGGTGGAAAAAAAGCTGGAATCGCATTTGGATTGATTGCAGCAGCGAGTATGGTCAGCGTTGGAGGATACATGTTGAAGAAACGGCGAGATAACATTCGTCGATCACGATTTGAATACGCAGCCGCTGAGTTTTTCTGAAGAGTTAGAAAGTCGCTTATGGCTCTTTCATCTTTGATTATCATATGAAAATGTTTTGGTTTGTGTTTTGTTGTTTGTTCTTATAATCATTTTGAAATTTGAGGTTTTCTATTTATTTGATTCTCCAAATTTCACTATGGTTAGTTAATTAGTGATTATTTTCTTGGACCCACGAACTACTCTATAGGGGTATTATTACTTGCTGTCATTTTTTTGTGTAATTGATTTAGTTGCTGTTTTCGGAGCCAACAGCCAAGTGATAGCAGTACTAACTACTAGACCAGAACAATTTTCTTGTACAAGTTAATGCATATCTAAACTATTAAAGGGAATGTACAAAATAGAAATAACCCTTAGTTTTCCTCAAAAATTATAACAGAATGTCACTGTAATTAAAACACTGTAATTTTGCTATTACATGGACTTCAATATAGGTTTAAAGTCCAATAACTTTAAATGAAAACAAAATTGCCCAAAACCAAACTCAATTCAATTTTAAAAATGCATTTGTTAATAAAATTGTCAAAGCTCTGATTTTTTTGTCTTTTTTTTTTCTTTCTAAATAATTTATTTTTTAAAAATAAATATAAAATATAATTTTAAAATATAATTGCAATCACAAAATTTATAATATAATTTAATAAAATACAAAAAATCTTAACAAGATACTCTAATATTTTATACTTAATTGTTTAGTTTACCAAGTAAAAAAAAATATATATCAAAAATCATTACAACTTGATAGTTAGAAAAAAGACGCTAAACAAAATGAACAAGATACACCGACATCATAACTCAGTAACCTACATAAATATGAATCTTTTTACAACTAATAAAAATATATATATTTATACAAAACATAAATCCGCGCGGACGCGCGGGTCAAAAGCTAGTAGATAGTTAATACTCCATCCGTTCTCCTTTATTTGTCATTTTAGACAATTTTTTATCTCAAAACAAATGTCGTTTATAATTTCAGTGTAAAATTTATTAGTTTTATCAACTTTTATATTTTCTATGAGTTAAAATGTGGTTAGATGTATAAATAATTGTTCTTTTATTTTGAAAATATGCAAAGTTAAATGATTTTTAATCTGTGTGTACAAACTTAAATGACAAATAAAATGAAACGGAGAAAATATACTGTATCCCTGAGCTAGCCTGCAAAAAACATATGTAAGTTGTAACTAGATTTGATAGTGTGTAATGTATGCATAAATAGTATTTCAACCATTCTTCTCATTAAAAATTTATTTCTAATGTAGAAATGTGAATCTTTGTACTTACTTATAAAACTTTTCGTATTTAGAACATATACCTACATTTTTGGAAGACTTTATCTGAAATGTATGACTGATAACTTCGTTTTCATTTATATAACGTCTCAAATTTGGTTAGATATAACCAGATGAGTTAGTCTGATTGTAAACGGTCTGCAGCTGTAGGTACGGCCACTTGGGTTCGACTCGTTCTGGTCACTGCAATTTCATATTTGGAGTGCAACGACACAGATTAATCCCTTGGGTCTAGAAAACCTTTGGAGAAATTGTGTATAATAAAAAAAAAAATTTGGTTAGATATGGCTAATATCTTTGATCCGTCCTAAGAAAAAACCTTTGACCCATCTTAGGACCGAGTGGCAGTCTTGACCCCAGCGAAAATGCTATGTATTTGGAAACTTGAGGTCGTAAACAGATTCAAGTACCATTTTGATTGCATCTTTCATGATCTTTCTATACGTAGGTAGATATCATATGGCAACTAAAAATCATTTTATAGTACTTGAATGTTTAAGTAATTCAGCAGCAGACTCTTTAGCAAAGATTTCTATATCTTTTCATTGAGATTTGTTGTATTGATTGTTTTGCCATATCACTTCTAAAGTTGAGTAAGGAAATAATCTTTTGATGTTATAAAAATGGTTAAGTAATTCATTCTAAATATGAAAGCTAAATGTATTGTTTTCATATGTAATGAAAACATGTATTCAAGAAGGATATACAAAAAAAATATTCTTAAGATGTATTTTGGAAGGATACAGATTACGAAATAGTGATTTTTTTTAGTTTTTAAAATATTTATATGTAAAAATATATAATTTTGAAAAATAAAAAATCATAAATTTTATTATTCCTTAATGATAATTTAATTTTTAAGTTTACTGAATATTATTTTGAGATTTATTCAAAAACTTTTTTGCTGCTATTATAGAGATTTGCCTTTCAATATTTCAGTTTTTTTTTAATTAAACTTTAATTAGACTATGTACAATGGTTTCAACATCCTTTCCACTTTCAACACCCTTATATTTTCCTTTTAACATTTCACATCATCTTCTCTTTCTTCCACCTCATTTATTCAACACCACTTCTTTTTAAACTTCTACAATGGTTTGTTTTAAAAAATTCAACACCCTACCCCAAATTTTTTTAATTTATATTATTTATTTTTCTTACAATATAATAATTACATATTAATAATTAAATTAAAAACTAAAATAAAATATAAATAGCGAGTGTACGCTGAGTGTACAGTTCTGAGTGTACACTAGCGCGTGTACAACCAGTATAAAGTGTACACTAGCGAGTGTACACTTTCAATATCCACTTCATTTTTTACTTTACAATAGTTTGTTTTAAAAAATTCAAAAAAAAAAGAACTGATAGAAAACAAAATTTTATTTGAAAATTAAAAAGCATATATTTGAGTAAAACCTGAATTAAAACCAAACGGTGTCAGACCACCTAAATTATAATTGGTTTTACTTTGATTACTATAAAATGAAAGACAAAGGAGACTATTAGTTTATCTTGAGGATTCAAAGGATATGCTTAATCAACAAGGCCATGGAAGAGCCCAGTTTACACAATTCAAGTGGCATGCATAGCTGACAAAAAAAAAAGTGGCACGCATACGTCACGTGCTTTGCCTAAAGAAGAACTCTGTTGCACTGCGTTTTAGAGCTCGGTTTTGCCATAAAAGGAAAGGCAGGGAGACAAGATTCAGAGGTTGGTGAGGACTGAGGAGAGACGAGATGTGTCCTTGATTAACAAGTTTTGGATGGTAGTTTGTTAATGTTTACTTTAAAGGTAGTAATCTAGTGCATTCTTTGAATTCAAAATCCTTGCAAGATTAAGTTTGAAAAGCATGAACTCATTAAAATCTCTCAAGTGTTTATATGTTTTTAGTTAACTACATGTTATACTAAAAAGATACCAAACTAAAATAAGCCAAACTACATCAAACCGAACAAAACCAAATTACAGATAAACTTGTCTCTGATTTCATTTTTGCAATAACCCGATAAAATCCAATAATTAAACCACAGTTTAAGGTTACGTACCACATAAAAAACATGACTCATTTTTCAATACTAGAAGATAAACAACATCCAAAAAAGACAGAGACAACAAAAGGGACCCTTCTGTCTTGTATGGATCTAATTGTCAGTACTCCTACATCTTCAGCAAAACAACAATACCTTTTCTTGCATAAAGGGTTAAAATCTGTTATGATCACTTCCTCAAGTGGCGGCGGTGCTTGAAGAATATCTTCTTGCAATATGGATTCATACTAAGGTTTCCAAATGTTCGTACTTTATCCATCAATCTCGCCCGAACATTGCCCTACAAGCAGTCCAAAAAAGCAGTTATGTTATTGTGTTTCTGACTGTAGTATAAAAATATGATCACAGGACTGAGAGAGTATAACCTTAGTTTTAGATAGAGCGGACTGGATAACATAATTAGCAAAAGGGTCTTGAAGAAGACGCTCGAAGTTTGAATCAGAGACGAGCTCGTGGACGATCTGGGATCTACTCTCTGGATAATGTATAAGACATTTCTCAACTACATGACTACTAAACTTCTGCTTAGCCAATTTCACATAGTTCCCTCTTAACTCAAACATTACATTTACTCCTCCCAAGTTCTGCTCTATTATGCATTGCACCACATAGTTCCTGCCATCAAATTTTCACACACACAAAAGGAAGGTATAAGTTGAAGATGTGACTATTAGTATGAGTATTTTTTTTCATAATTATTTATAGACGTTACCCGAAAGGGTCTTGTGCAAGGTGGAGAGAGTTTCTGGCTATTTCAGCAACGAGGTTCTCACGTTCCGCACCATCTGAGTATTGAACGCAGTGTTGCAGCACACAACATCCATGTTCATGAGTTGCAATTGTGGCACAGAACCTAGTAGCACCCTCCAAAACGAACTGCACATAAAAATATACTATTTAATACTCACTCACTCATCAAATTTCAAGAAGGCGAGAGGAGGAAGCGATTATTATGTTTAAAAACCTTGTTATCTTCAGGGGCAAGGAATTTTAAGCAGCTTAGAACAACATGATTCCCATTTGTAGCTGTAACCAGAGAGAGCAAACCCGGTTTAAGAGCTGCCTTAACCAGATTGATTTGTGTCTTTGTTCTCACTGTCTCAATCAGCTTCTGCACAACTCTTGTCCTGCTCATTACAAAAGAAAAAAAGAAAAAGGTTTCAGCTTTTATCTTAACCAAAAATTTCCAAAAAACATGAATCATCAAGTCAAAGTTCCATGAACTTGAAATGTTTTGTCAAAGGTCTCTCTCATTTGTCTCAAATCAGTAAAAACAATTCATCCTTTCACTCAAAAGATCTCAACTTTTTTCCTTTCTATAAACATCATAGGATTTCATCTTTCACGTAAATCAAGAAAACTTCACAGATTAACATTTATATGAATACCTTACAAAAAAAATCGAATATTCTGAAATAGTAAATACTTTTTAATACTTATTTGTACGGTTAACATAAGCATTAATTAATACTAATAATTTGAAGTAAAAAAAGGCTTACCCATAGTTGTGGAGGGAGATAGTGACAAGCAACCCAGGTTTAGAGGTCAACATGATAACGATTTCTGTTCTCTGTTGTTCGTCACAGACTTGAATAAGCTTTTGCACCAGAAAATTGCCAAACTGATCAACTCCTAGTTCGATCAGATGATTAACCAATCCTCTGAATATAAACATGACATCAACAAAGCTTCCTTCTTCCATCAGTTTCTTCTGTAGAAAACGACAACCCATCTGTTCTTTTGCCGCCATGTACACAGATCCGTAGATTCCAAGAACGGACACAAGATCTGGAGACAAAGACAAAGCTTCTCCCTCCTTCATGCATTTACGAGAACCTCCTGAAAGAGGTTGAAAGATCCTATTTCCTCTGATTTCTCGAAAATCTATAATGTGTCGTCGTTTTTGTTGCTCCAAGAGGCAATCTTTGTTCTCTGTAAAGCGGTTAGGGAGAGGCTTAGGGTAGTCTTCTCGAGCAAGCAATCTAAGCCTGTGACTATTGTCACTAACTTCTCCACTAGAGCTCTGCGTTAGAGCTTGGCGATGAGAAGAAGCTTCCAGAAACGAACCTCCAAGTCTTATCCCATGAAGATTTTTGGAGGTGGGAGAGCCCAGAAAAGGATGAGATCCGGTGAAGATACTCCTTTCTTCGTCGGAGATACTCATTTTATTGAGATTCTGACACAAACCAAGAAGGTTTCTGCGAGAGTGTTGGTTCACAAATGGGTTTGGAATCGATGTCAAGGAGGCAGAGGCAGAAGTGGGAGGAAACACTCCGAAACCTATCTCGGGGAGATGAATGTTTCCATGTCTCAACTCATCAGGTAAAAAATCAAAATCGTCCATGAAACTCTTTTCGTTAAACATCATCAAGAACAAGGATACAAAAAAAGGAACAAAGCAGAAGCAACAAGGAAGAGATTTTTTTTTCTTTTCTGTATTGTTTTCTTTTGTCTCGTATGACTGACAAGAGTGGCGTCTTAGTTCTTATTGCTGCTCCTGCTCCTGGAAACTAACAAAAGTTATATATTTTCTCTGCCCAATTTTAACTGGACACACAGATTAAGAAAACATTTAATTTTATATATTTTTAAAATAAAACATCATTATTAAATATTTAATCATATTTTAACTAGAAAAAATAATTAAAGAATATAAAAAATCACATAACATATAAAATTTATTAATATTGTATTGAATTGTAAAGCATATTTTTTTTGAAACAAAAAATTAAATCTACAATGACAATTAATGAAACAGAGAAAAAAACATTCATTTTTTATAACCGAAGAAAAAACTTTCATCCCTCTCCTTTGTTTATAGCTTTAAGTTTTTTTAATAATTTTATTATATAGTATTTCTTGTGTTTTATATTAAATGTCACTTTAATTTTGTACATGAGGATTAAGGAAACAATTAATTTTACATATTTTTCATATAAAAACACAATTACCTATATACCTAACCATATTTTAACCAATAGAAAAACTAAATTACAAAATAAAATTAATAAATTTTCTATTCATTTATTTTATAACAAAAATAATTTTCTGAAATGACACTTAATATAATACGGATTGAGTATTTTTTTGAACTTTAACAACTGTTATTTTAAGAAAATGCATATAGATTCCATTATATGATTCCATAGTTTAGGATCAAAAGATTTTACAGCTATTTATTTTTTGTTGGTATAAGGATCAAAAGATTAAGAAAACATATATTTTCTTTTATATTTCACAAAAACATTATTAAAGTTTACATTTTAATATTTTTGTTGATATTGTTATCTTCTTGACTTTGACGCTAGTTTTCTATGTTTTGTGTTTTCATACTGTCATGAGTGATTTAATTTAATCTTCACAGCTTTGAGCTTTGTTGATAAATACCATTGTCATTGAAGTAATGCCATACGAAACAGCCGCGGGTACATTGGTAGATTAGAGACGACGTCAACTGTTGTTAATGCATGGGGAAGAAAAAAGAGATAACACATAGTAAACAATATGTTGTTTTTATTTTATTTTAATGAGATACACAGATTAAGAAAACATTTAATTTTGTATATTTTTAAAATAAAAACATCATTACCTATGAGAAAATATAATTACCTAGCTAAAAATCTATTTACATTTCAACTAACATCAAAATAGACTAGAGAATATAAAGAATTATATAGGATACAATATTAATAAATCTTGCATTAAAAATCTAACATAATACTTATTTTAAAATGAAAATTTTACTTTTTAACAACAATTAAAATGGATAGAATATTACAAAAAATATATAAAAAATAATTCATATATAATATCATGTCTCTTTTTTATTTATAGATTTAAGTTTGTTTATGGATTTTACTGTATAATGTTCTCTTTGATTTTAACATATGTTTTTAGGAATATGCATACTGATTAAAAAAAAATATTTAGTTCTTAGACATTTTCTAAACAAAAATATGATTAACTATACTTCTTACTCCTAGTTTAACTAATAGTAAAATAGTCTGCATAATATGATTACTCATATAATGGAGAGAGTAGTTATTTGTATTTTTTTTTTTGAAAAAAATGATAATAAAATAGTTACTTGTATATATTATACAGTAATTTTTGTTGCTAGAAAGATATCCCAGTTTTTTTTTTAATATTGTTGTCTTTTTGACTTTGACGTTAATTTCTATGTTCTGTGTATTTCATACTGTTCTGAGTGATTTAATATAATCTTCACAGCTTTGTTGATAAATATCATTGTCACGGAACTAATGCATGTGAAACAGCCGCGAGTACATTTCATATCAAATAACAATGGGTGTATCAACAAAATAGAAAATTGTAAATAAGATGAAGTCCATCTTACTTATACTCTCTTTGTTTCACAATGTTACATATTTAAAAAAAAATGTTTCAAATATACATTTTTTAATATTTTCAATGCATGTTTTGTCAATCAACTCATCAGCTAAAAAATCAAAATCGTCCATGAACTTCTTTTCGTTAAACAGCATCATCAAGAAGAAGTGAAATCTATAGTTTTTATACAAAAAAGGAACAAAGCAGAAGCAACAAGAAAGAGATTTTTTTTCTTTTCTGTATTGTTTTCTTTTGTTCGTATGACTGACTAGAGTGGCGTCTTAGTTCTTACTGCTGCTCCTGGAAAATAACAAAAATTATATATTCTCTCTGCCTCACTTTAATTGGACACACATATTAAGAAAATATTTAATTTTATATATTTTTAAAATAAATATCATTATTAAATATCTAATCACATTTCATATTAATCTACAATAATTAATGAATATAAAAAATCATATAACATATAAAAATTTATTGATAATGTATTGAAATTCTAAAGAAATATTTTTTTTTGAAACAAAAATTTA